ATATTGCGAATGGTTTTGCAAAAATATAGCATTAAAAATGCAATGTTTCGAGCTTCATTTTTTTTTTTTTTTTTTTTTTTTTTTTTTAACATTAATTAAAATAGACTGGTTTTGTTGAACTATTTACTTGTAATTAACAAATACATATTCATATATTTATTGCATACATATAAATTAATCCAGAATTAACTATTAGTTACATTGCAATATTAATTAAAGTGGCTTCGCTTTATATTGTTTTGTCATTGCACAAAAAAATTGATAGACCCACAATTATTACTGCTTGATCTAATTGTAAAATGATAAATTGGTCTAAAAACGCAAATTTACTATGGCAACTAGTTAATAAAAATTTTCAGCACAAAAATTTTAATAAAAGCACATATAAAGCTACTTATTTCCTCCATCATTCCAAGTTAGGCATACATAGTTAGCATAAAATTTAAATTAATGTTGAGGTCGTCAAGGTTGGCTGCGATCACCTGTCAATAATTTAGTGCTATAATTATTCCATCAATATCAATAAGATAAATGTAAAATAGATCAACAATTCTTCGGGGCTGATAAACCTTATCTTGATTCCACATTTTTTTTGCTTGATAATACTTAATGCTATGTACCGTATAGGCACGTAATAACGCACATGGGTGTTATTTCAAAAATTCCATTTTTTTTGAAAATCGCATATTTGACTCGAAATAACGCCCCATGCGTGTCCCAAAATAATGCGCCCTGCCTACGTAGTCTCAGAAAAGTTTTTAGTAGTTGTAACTTTTTTCTTCAAAATTAGGATAATGATTCGAGTTTCATGCATGTGCATTACGAAATGATGCACAGATGCGTGTTATTATGCCTATACGGTATGTATGTTTTCAAAATAAAAAATTGTAAATCTGATAATATATGAATGAGAGCTACACAGAGAAGACCTGTAAGTAAAAAATTAATGTTATCACTATACAGGCTGACAAATTGTTATATAATAGTACTTATTGGAAACGCGTATACAAATAAGTGTTCCCAAAACACTAATTGGTGTTTTTAATACTATCATATAACAATTCTTAGTGATAACATTAATTATATCAGGTTTTACCTGTGAAGCACTCATATAGTTTTCTTTTAGTGGTACTCACATATAGAAGCTATTCACCTAAGATATAAAAGATAAATTAGTCATAAATTGCTTAATAATAAATCTCAGAATAGATTATATATATCTTTTTCTTGCTCTACATAAATCATATTATGTTCTGCCAAAACATTATTTCTATAAATAGCATAAATTTGTTGATTTATTAGTTTGTTGATTTATAAGTTTTACATTAATTCGCGATGCCTCATATCTCAAAAAGACGACAACAAATAAACAATTTACCTAGAAAAAGGGGTCGCTTTGCGGCTCAAGAGGAGGAAACACATGAAATAACTGATGTGCAAGATGAATTCACATTAAGAACTTGTGAGGGAGATGAAATCACAAATGAACAAATTAAAAAAGTATATACTAAAAATTCGAGGACTACTCTTTGGAAACAAAATAAAAAGAAAAAAGAGGAAGAAAATGCGAAGGAAAATCGAACTGCTGATAAATCTTTCAATAATAAAACACCAAATAATACATTACTCAATACTAAAGCATCGAGTAATACACCATTCAATGATAAGGCTTTGGCACCAAGTAATATATTAATCGATGCTGAAGCTTCAACATCAAGTAATATATTACTTGAT